AGTGCTAAAATACTGGAAAAATACAAAGGTTTTCACCTTGTGTCTAAAAGAATACAGAGTAGGTGCCAGGTGCACCTCTTTGCAGAGATCATTCCATAGCATAGGCAGGGTGCCACAACCAGAGTCCTTTCTTTTGGTAGCTACACTCCTTACTTCCTTTGGAAGGGGCTCCTGGAGAAGGACCCCTGAAGATGACCTTAGGGTCTGGGAAGGTACATATGGGATGAGATGTTCCTTCATGCTAGCCAAGCTACTGTCCAAACCAGAACTATAGAAGCAGAAGAATGTCCCAGTATATGTCCAAGATCATACCTTACTATCTCCCTGGAATCCCTTTCTGAAGTAGTTTAAACCAGAATGTGTGAGCTGAAAACTTCATACCTATTACTACATTCAGAAGAGACAGTTTATTACATTGCTGTTGTTCAGTTGCAAAGTCATGCCTGACTCTGCGACCCCATGGACAACATTACATTGGAATCCCTTAAAACAAAGTAATGTTGTGGTGATTCCTGCATAAGAAAACAGAGAATAATGATGTGGTTTGCATGGCCTCCAAATCCCCCATGTCTAATCAGGCATGCCATGTAGGGTTTCTGCAGGGAGCTTATTTTTCATGAACAAGTATTGTGAGAACCCATGCCTTATTTTAGTGTTGTTGATAGCCCTGGTGGCTTGTTGCATCATTCAATTCCATCACAGACATATTGGTAAAAACAAATGGAAAAATGGAGGGAACAAAAATATGGAGAGTGTCAACAATCATGATATTGCAGGCTAGAAGAAGAAATGAGGCTGCTAAGAGGAAGTGTGACCAGAATAAAGGGAAACAGCCCAAGTACAGAATCCTGAGAAACCAACAATGAAAGAAAAAGATCTATTTACATAAATGTTAAAAGCATAATTTGTGGAAAAGTATTCTTTTTTCTTTAGATCAGCCTGCTGCAAACTGTTGCCTTCAAGATGTGTTTAATTACAACTCCAGTCACTCCCAGACAGCAAGGAGATGCCAATTCAAATCAATGTGTAACAGTTTATGAAAACCAACTAAACAAGAACTGCATGCATATCAATTACTGCAACCTACACCATTTGGGTGGGAGTAAACCTCAATGAAAACTCACTGACGGTTAAGTCTGTGTAGAATTGTGCTGTAACAGGTCTTTTATAGCATCATTGTTTGTTTTCTTCCTGCTGCTTCTTTTCTGGGTTTGTTGACCAGTCAATAGGAACCAAACCCTTTCCTACTCCACCCTTCTTCCTGCCTACTTAATTGTGGCCCATCATCTCTGAGTCTTTCATTGAGTAAATATTCTACAGGTTTTTAAAATCCTGTCAGACTACCCCATGAGGTATTGACTAGTTACTACATCCTTCTAGTTCTCTTCAATTGCAGTGCAAGAGTGCTTAGTTCAAATGGAAATCCTGTTAACACAAGGGCCTCTCACAAGCTGTTTGACCAATGCTGTCAGGGGTGGATACAGTTTTGCTCAGTGCTCATAAACTTTAATAATTGGAGTGTCTATAAACTTGAATTACTGGAGTGTGTCTATAGCTCAGGAAATTATGATGTAATTGAGTTTCCTAACCATCAGTTTATTAACTATGGTATTCTTCGTGGCCATCTAACTGGGTTGGGGACTTGAAGGTACTATTTTACAGTGACTTTTCAGAAGGTGATGCTGGGGAAGCTTCTGTTTGACACTATGATTATTGTCCTTTTGTGATCCCCGTGCTCTTTAACATACGAGGGTATGCATGACATCACAGCATTAGATTGTCTGAAGTTCTGATATTCAATGCTACCTGAGCTGATCAGGCCCAATTCCACTTTCCTATTTTATCTAAATCCAAGAAGTTGTAAGTTCTAAATCAGTGCCTGATGCCATTAATGGAGTGGATGAGGGCAAACAAATTGAAGTTTAATTAATCCTGGTCAGTTTAAAGACAGATGTGGGAATAAGGACTCAAACATTGTTGGATTGGCTTATACTCCCATTAAAGGCTCAGGTTCAAATACACAGTTTGGATGTTTATTTCTAGATTCATGCCTGAAACTGCATGCTCAAGTTTCAGTGCTAGGTAGGGCTAGTGCCAATTGTGTATTCCTAGAGGTGTCAGATCTGGTGGCACATGCCTTAATTCTATTAGACTACTGTAATGTAGGACTGCCTTGAAAAGTGTTCAACTTTCAAAAGTGTTCAAGTTTCAGCTGGTCCAGACTTGGCTGGGAGTCGTTAAAGAGAGCACTTCCTTGTTATCAAAGGTTAGTTTACATGTATTTGACTGATTACCTGTCTGATTCTGGACACAATTCAAAGTCCTAGTTGTGACCCAAAGAGCCCTACACACTTCGGGACAAAGCTGTTTGAAAAACTGCATTATCCCTGAAGAGTCTGCATGAGTTTTAAGATCCTTTGGAAAGACCTAATTTACATGTAAGAATAAACTATGGGTTAAAAAAAACCAAAGTCAGTCTTAGCCATGCAGCAGAGGGTGGGCACACTGTATGCTTCGGGCACTTCTGCTTTGGATTTGCAAATCAGAAGCTAAGATTTTGATGGACAAACAACACAGGATCTGAACCCATAGCTTGTTGGGTTAAAATCCTGAGTTGTTCACCTCTCAATATCCAACAGTGAAAGTGAATGCAAAATGGAACCAGTGTGCTTGGTAAGGTGCAGCTTCACCAATTAATTGATTAAACTATCCATGAGTTGACATTGCACAGAAACCAGATTTCTCTGTCCTGCTGCCACTAGTAGCACACTTGAGGAATTTAACAAGACCTTTTCTGTGGCTGCTTCCAGGCCCTGCAACTCCCTGTCAATGCCCTTCTGCCAGCTTGCATTCAATTTTATTCAGACAGGTTTTGGTTGTTAAGTTGTATGGATGATAAAGACAGATAAGTATGGTGGCAGTGATAGACTTTTACTTTAAGCAGCAATAAACACTAGTTTGTAGCCTTCATAGTTAAACATTAACATGTGAAAATTGCAGGTCACTTGTTACTTCATGAATAGTAATAACTCCCTTTGATATTTTCTCTGTCCTGGCCAATCTGATAAAAGCATCCAGTCTAACTAGTAATATGGACAGCTGCAAAAAATCTGTCATGGGTTTTTTGTCTATTATGGTAGTCATTGTATTCTTATTTCTCATGGAATAGAACTGGGAACAAAGTTATCTAAGGGAAGTAGCAAATAACCCTGATCAGAAATGGCTTACTTAAAATTATACGTATGTTTGCATGGTGAAACCTTAATGTAAGTCTATTTTTTGTCAGCCTTGTGTCAAATGCCAGGGCTCAGATTTGGCATATGTGAAGTATTAAAGTGTATGTGCAGAACAAAAATTGAGAACTTTCCATACATATTTTGCACTGGGAACAAGATGTGACATCTAGATGTGACTTCCCGGCAGAATTAAAACAAGAAAGAATGTGCAGCCAATGCTAGGCCGTAACTGCAAGGGCTGAAATGTTATTCAGTGCCAAGGTGGTGCACTGAATAACAGGTGTCACACTTTTTCAATTATGCTATGAAATGCTTTCCCTTCCCTTCCACACTATTTTTACCTGGATTTTATGTTAAGTTTGAGTTTTTATCATACCTCAGGAGTATAAATATTAAGATGTACATGAGGTATGCTGATATGTTTAACTTTCGCGTCTCTTTGCATCATCATGTTGTGTCACAGATTTTCCTGTGTTGATACTGCCTTCTGGTTTGAACTCCAGTATTTATTCTATGGCTCCCTTTACACAGAAAGGCATTCTTTCTGAGGCTGCTTTGTGCTAAGTGTCCCTGTCCCATTTGGCCAACTCAGGAAGGAAGCAACCCATCCAGGAAAATACTGGAAATTGAAGGACCTTTTTTCTGTCTAAATTTGCTTAGGATGATGGCCCAAGTGGTATTAGACTCAGGACCTGGATCCACCTAAAATATAAATATATTTAACAATAATCAGATTTACATATTGATTGTACAGGGACAAGTTGTAAACACTCCAAGCATAATTCTGTACTATTTAGGCACTTCAAAGTCTAATTAATTTAAAGCGGACCTCAAAGCTCTTAAACTTGAATGTAACTTCCTATTCAATTATTATATCAAAATGCGATGTATTAAAATATTCAAGGTCTGATTCTAAGTACTTTGCTTTGGCCTTTCATTTTCAGCTGACTTTTAAACTGTCATAAGTTTAACAGGCCTTTGCAATTCCCTAAGTCCTAATACCGTCTGTCGAAGTCGAGGGGTTTTTAATTGGCTATGGTGGAGTGATGAGATACTCTTCCTTGAACCCTTGAGATATGGAGCTGAAAACAAACGATAAACACGACGTGAGCGAGAAGAAAACAGAAGCTCCAAGTCCATTTTCAGGCGCCTGGGGACTTCTTGGCGTAGTTTCACAGTCAGAAGGGCAAGGAGATAAAACTCCGAGGAAAATCCAATCACAGCCGGGCCGTATTTACTCCAAAGGCAGCCTCATTTGGTCCCAAGGATGTTAATCTCAAGCGGCGAGCGTGGGATGAATCTGTAGCGTCGGGAGGACGCGCTCCTGGCGTGGCTCCTCTCGCCTCCCAAGTGCCGCACTCAAGGCGGCTTTGGCGACCTGGTTGTTGCACAAGCTCCCTCCCCACCCCGTTCTCCTGCTTTGTGCCACACACACACAACCCTGTGGCTTTAACGCTTTCTGGTGAGTGCAGCAGCGGAGAGAAGCAGCAAGAACTCGGCAGAAGTGGTTGACCTCCTCTTGCTCGCTCCCTCGCTCCCTCCCTCAAGCACTCAGGGGATTATAGCTCAGAGCCGCCTGCTGCTGCTGCCGCCGCCGCTTCAGCGCGGGGAGGGATTTACCTGCTGCCGCGGCGAGCAGCGCCCTCCCCGCCTCCTTTGCCTTTCCCCGGAGGCAGCGCAGTGGCGTCGAGGGGACTGCGCGGGGCCACCTCAACGAAGGCACCCGCTGGGGGCTCTTCCCGCCTTGCCGCCTCTCGCGCGCGCCGCGGAGCAAACTTTTTACTTCTCCAGGCGTTCCCAGACGCGAAAGTATCGAACTACCGAGGCGGGGAGGGGAGTCTCAGTGCCGCCGCCACTATCACCGTCGGGACCTCTTGGAGTGGCAAAGAAAGCGCTTCAGGCCCGCAGGTATTCGCTTTCTTTAAATTTATTTTATGGCTAATCGAATAGCTCCCGCCGTTCCTCACGCCCACGTGTTTCTGCGGGAGGTATTTTTCTTCATGCTGGACGGGACTGGCGGAACCAGGAGATGGGGCAGGGAGGGAGAGGAGGGCGAGATGGCCCCGTTGGAAGTGGCTTGCCGTACTGGGAAGGTGGTTGCGACCCAGGGGATGCCGTTTCTCCGACCTCGATCACCACTCCGAGGCCTAGAAATGGAGTCAGGAGCTGCGCTTGCTTGCGTTTCTTGTTTCCTTGGAGGTTTCAGTGAGGGGCTGCTTCACATAAGAGGGTTGCAATGCTTTCCAAGGGAGCCAGAGGTCTGTCCCGCCACGCGTGCAAGAAGTTTCTTAGCGTGGATCCTCCTCCTCTTGGTCTTTTTCTCTTATGTGCCTATTTTTTTTTCTGAAACAGTACTTGTTGCTCAAACAAGAACGCTTGGAATCTTGCCTCGGACTAATGTTTCCGCCTTCCCGCTCTCTCCCCCCCACCCCCCGTTAATTGTCAGCGTGCCTGGGCTGCAAAGGCGTGAATACAAAGCATTGCAATTTGCAAACGTCAAAGGAAAAAGGGTGGGGTGCTTCTTGCCTAGGTTTGTAAGGACATGAGCAGATGACTCAAAGCAGCGTCTTCCTCTCTTGCCTCCCTCTCTTTTATTACCCAAACACAACCGGTCTCTCTACCGAGGTAACAAACTTAATCGGCTCCCGTTTGGGAGTGGATGATGATGTGGGAGGGGCGAACATAGAAGCTATTTCCTTAGCTGTGGAAGCTGCAACATGTTAAAGCTGACTTAAATGGCTGCTCAGAATCATTGTTCTGTTTTCTGATCGATTGGATCGACCCTCCAATAGCCCCCAGAAAAGAGTTAGGTTTACCACTGTACCCTGCACCGAATTTAAATAGCTTGCACTAATAGTAACTGGCAAGCTGACAAAATTATATAGGTCACTGGGAAATAATTCCAGCTTAATCGCCTTTATCTCTCTTTTTTTTTTTTTTGACTAAAGGGAAAAAAGAATTTCCTCTTACAATACAGATGTCTGCCCTTTTCAGATCAAGAGTGTCCTTGGGAATAATGCAAACATTCTCTTTAGTTATTATTTATTGCATTCAAAAGTATAAATTCTTAAACCTTATTACCAGATGTATTACATACACACTCTCTGTAACATGGAGCTGTCCTTTTACATAAGTTTGTGTATTTTAGACCATTAAAAATTCTAGCTATTATCTGTGATTTTGACTATATATTACCTGTATATTTCAAACTGCAGACTTTTAAAAATTATGTCAGACTTTTATAACTTCCCCTATTATATTAGTTATGGGAAGTGTTGTCTTCATTGGGCAGATGTAGAGGGGGAAAGCGTAAACGATGGGACCATTTGAGCGTGAAAGAGGTACATGGTTACCCTGTGAATAAGTTGCTCATATTGGATTGTTCATAGAACAGCTCATAGTGTGCCTAGCAAAAGTTTGGGCCCACTGTCTTCTCCTTGTCTTCTTTCTCCTCTGTCTTCCAGTATCCCATTATCCCTCATGGTAGAACTTGCCTTTTTTCACCTACCCTGCTCTGATTGCTACCATGTTTTGTTTTTTCCCATTCTTTCCTTGGGACCTCCAAAAAGTACAGTTAGAGTTCTTTTTTAAAAAATTTGGCTGCTGAAAATTGTGCTACTGCTTTATTTATTTATTTATTTATTTGGGTTAGGGCTATCTAACATGTGTGGTCTTAGTTGGTTAATTTCCTTGTATGTTTTAGCTGTCAAAAAGAGCAGTGAAGCAGAGTAGGTACCACCCATGGAAATTGATAAAAGAAAACTGGTTAGTTGTGTGTAGTCACCAGAGACCATTTGCCAAGTTGTCAATTGAAAAGCATAATTAACATGGGGAAAAAGCAGCAAAATAAAGTGCACTAAAGGTGTGGGTAATAATATCTCCCTTTTCACAACTCCCTTGTGGAGCACTTAATGCAACAGTTACTTGACACTTCTTTTAAAAAGTAAGAGTTTAAAAACTGGGAAGTAAATGGAAGGGAAATTTGCTCACCTGCAGTAACCACTCTATTATGACAAGTGAACAAATGCCCTGCCGTTAAATTGACTGAAATTTTCATTCCAATTACGTCCTATATATTACAGTTGCATTACCAGTCCAACAAACTGTACATATTTTCCCAACAATTTAAAGAACCCTCAGAAACTTTCATGGAGCACCAGTGGGACTTACATCTGGTATGGAATCCATCCACTCTATCCCATTCAGTCTCTTTCTTGGGTTATTTTTTTAGAAGACTGGTAACCATAGGAGTAAGTGCTCGGAAAAGGAATTGCAGAAGATGTGGGGAGCTAATATCACCCCCTTCTGAAGTAGGTATAGAGACTCAGGGAAGTACTGAAAAAGACAATTTGAAGTACAGTATTAGTTCAATATTTTTAATCATATAGTTTATATCTTGAAGTGGGAGATACGGGTCTCCACTTTTGTTGTACTTATTTTTGCTACTTTCTCTCTTTTTCAGTGCTTTTAGTTGGTAACTTGGCAAATGGTCTTAGCAACTCCGTGCAAATTACCTTTTCTGTGTTCTGGCCCCTTCAGTTTCCATGCATGTCCCCATTCCTTTTGACAGCTGAAACATTCAAGGAAATTGAATAAGAAGGGTAAGTATCAGACAGCTGCAAGGGTACACTTGCAAAGCACAGGCAAAATGAACAAAAGGATGCAATAAAAAGAACACATTTGTACACATTTATGAGACTGAAATAATAATTCTAAAAGGACACCCCATTAGTCATGGTTGCTCTTATTTTGCGGGAGAGCTTTAAACTCTTTGAGAAGAGGAATCTTGAGTTCACTTAAGGCAACTGGTATTTCTTTTTCCCATTCAACATGTATTTACTCTCCTTAAGTAACATTTGCAAGGGTAGGAGAAAATATGTCATGAAACACACTATTTTAGGACTGATTTGTTTTTAGTCAGTACAAAGTTCTTCTAGTTTGAAAACACATTGGAAATTACTTGAGGGAATTCTGTGAACAAGATTAATAGGATTTCTTATGGACTCATTAAAAATCCAATGAAATATAGATTAATAGTCTGTTATGCTTCTTTAAAAAAAACTGTTGGCAACATAAAGGTCAAATAATTCTTTAATATGATAGACTACTGAATTGCAAATAATAATACTAGTGCTATGAGTGTCTTCCTCTCACTTTCTGGTTTCTTGAAGTCCTACTGACTTCAGGGGAGCATAATCCAGATGAATATAGAGGGAATTGCAACTCTGCAGGATAACCTAATGATCCAACTAAGATGGCACTGCTTTTGGCTGATTACACACTAGTATAACTACTTGGGATTCTGTGTACTTTCAGCAATGACATTGAAAGCAGAATGTAAGTAGAAAAAAGGAAAAGATATATGGAAGTGCTGTAGCTCGCATGCATAAGATCCATGGTTCATTATCTCTCGAAAGGGTTGAGAAGCACTTTTTCTGAAGACCTGGAGATATGGATCCTAGTTAATGTAAACTAGGTATGGTGAACCTGATTTGCAGATATGACCTGTGGCCTCCTTGTTGCCAAGGGCAATTAGGCTTAGTGGAAAAGGCTCCTTTTCTTTGAATAAGACCTTTTTCCTTTTAGATCTTAACTGGTGTGTGTAGATTTTCAGAAGGAAGGAAGGATTAAACACTTATTCTCAGGCTGCGATCTCATAAGACACTTATCTGGAAGTAAGACTCATTGAATTCTATAGGACTTAGACATCTGAGGCAGCTGTCGGATTGCATTGTTAGTCTGTTCTTATTTGATGTTGTTCAGGGGACAGGATAGGTTGGATGGACAGTTGCTTGTCCCTCTGTTTGGATGTCAGCTATTTTGTTAGCCTGAGTTTATGTTCATGGATGGGATGGACTGAATTCCGTGGGAGGACAGAATTCCACTAAGCAAGACATTCTCCTGCAAATATTTCCAATATATCTTGAAAACTGTTCCTTTTTTCCTTTATACTGCCATACTGATGTAGTGTTATGATGGCAAAATATTGCAAATGTAATATCATACCTTGGAATTAGGCCTATATGAAGGATTTACTTGCAATCCCATCCTTATCCAGCTGGAGGATAGAATTGTACTGTTATCTGTTGAACTGTAGTGGAATAAACATATCTATAATTGAATGTAGAAAGGATTTAAGCTGAATACATTTACAGGATAAATTTAAGGATTGTTTAGTATACTTTCAAGCTATATATTTGACAATCTTCGTCCTCTTATCTGAATATTTTACACCAAATGTCTTTGGCAAGTGCTGGAGGAACATTTTTTGAGCACTGTACTCTTATTGCCCCATAGGGCAAGAAAAGCACAGGAACAGCCTTATTTCTGCCTTGTTATGAAGAATAAACTTGAGAGGGTAAGCTAAGGTTGTTCAAACTGTACTCATGTACATTTCTTATAATTACTTTAGGTCAAATGGGAATACAGCGAACATGTACTTACTGAACCTAAACGTCAACCTTTCATTATATACAGCTATCAAGTCTTGATGTTATTTGGTTACTAACAATCTTATGGATGGTTTGTATCTTAACAGTGCCCTGAGCATAATGCTGGAAATATTTTTGGTGGAATTATTTAATGAAAAAGAACTGAATTTTCCCTACAGAACTTGGTCTCCATGTGTAAGACATGACTCATAAAATGAGTTTCTGTTTCTCATAAGTTTCTGTTCTGTCCACAACACAAAGCTAAATATGCCCATCTCAATATGTTTTATTTCAATGAAAGGTGCTGGCATTAGGCTGACAGCCTCCCATGTATGGAATCAAGTTGCGAATGCTATTTGCACCCATCCACCTGTCAGGCATGCAAGTATAAATCACCAGAAATGCTAATATAAAATGTTTATTAAATGTGAATGATACAGATTTATTAGCTGTGTGTCAGCACTGCAGCTGGAATCC